AACTGGCCTATGTTGATTTGACTCATTTTATAAGCTGTGCTATTTCCTATAGATCATTTTCCAGACAGTTCTGCTATGATTAGTGTCTGGCAAAAAAGCTTTTATTTCCTTTGCAACATCTCAACCAACAATTGGTCCAGTTATCAACGCTATTTTCAAGTTCTGAACAACTCGACTTTCAAGATCTACATATCTACATGTGCCGATGTTTCCGTTTATCAACGTTATATTTAAAGATCTGTGCAAGAACTCAGCTAACAGATGTTTCCACACATAAAAGCTATCTTCAAGTTTTGTACACCAAAAAAACTTTTTTAAATGTTTGTAATGTTTAGCAAAGGTTTGCCAATTTTCTTGAAGATACACTTTAAAAGTTATAGTTTGTATAGTTTCATGGTTACATGATGACCAAGCCTCTATACAGAGGGTTAATGTCTTCAAATTAAACACTACTTCTTAATAGAAAGTTACTTTATCTGTGGGAGTGAAGATGTATGCAAAGAATTTAAATACACAATAACTTTTTTCATACATGCAACAAGTTCACTCTAGTTAATAGTGAATTTCTTTAAGTATGTTATGCACTTCCTGATAAATGCCTCTAGCTTCATTTAACAAGTGTCTGAATAGGATTACTTTTAACTTCTCTTTCTTACTTTATTTATGTAAAACTTTACTGGCTGATGTATTAATTATGTTTTTGGTGTGTTCACAATTAATTTTTGGACATTCCCAGAATCTTGCACCTTTACCCATTAGTAGTCACAAATCTTCGTTAATCATGACATCAAGTTTACCATTGAGCAAGTGGTTGATGGGAGAATAAATGTACGGGGGATGAATTACATTCGTATTTATGGGGTAAAATGTTGTGTAATTCTTCACTGGTTATGTTACCTAACACTTTGTTATAATTAAAGATGCTAATGCCAATGGTTGATGGGAGAATAAATGTACGGGGGATGAATTACATTCGTATTTATGGGGTAAAATGTTGTGTAATTCTTCACTGGTTATGTTACCTAACATTTTGTTATAATTAAAGATACTAATGCCGATGGTCTCTTTCAACAGTAGCTAACAGTTAATAATTTGAGTTAGGTAATAAATGTTGTAAAAAAGTGTTTTTAACTACAGAGTCTATTCAATTGGTTCTATACTTCTGTCAATAAATGGAAAATTTTTACCTAAAGTACATTACTCATCAAACTTGATGACACATGTATTTATGTTCAACTGAATTATTGACAACAACATTCACAAGGTATCATACATAAGTATGACACCTTTAGTGTTTAATAAGTTTCTTGGCAGTTTTGTAATAAATAATCCTGTGCTTTAGTCAAGTTTTTTCTGTGTTTGCACACATGACTACATGGCGTTACCCAACAATCTTTAGGTTATGGCTAACATTTTCATAGCATTGACCTGCTATCTTTATGTTATAGCTAACATTTTCATAGCATTGCCCTGCTATCTTTATGTTATAGCTAACATTTTCATAGCATTGCCCTGCTATCTTTATGTTATA